ACATTTATAGCTAAATGGATGCACATTGAGGCCATACTCTTAAGTGAAATAAATAGGACACACATGTAAATACCAAACAGTTTCTCTAGTGTGAGAAACTGTAAGTGTAAATAAGGACTAAAAGGTATAATAGGTAATGTAAAATAGGAGGAAAAGATGCAAAGTGGAAGGGGAAGTGAGAGGGGTAGGGGAAAGGAAAGAAGGGAATAGAATTAATATGAGAAAATAAAAAAATGTAAACAAAGTCTTTGTAAATAGGGAGGGGGTGGAGCGGTTGAAGGGAGGGCATGGGAAGGGGAAAAAAAATAAGAACCAAGAGAGATTATGTAAAGGTACAAAAAAAAAAAAAAATCCGGCCAGTTAATATATCACCTATAATACTAAGCCATGTGTAAGATTTAAAATTTACTTTCTTAGCGATTTTGACATATATAGTAAATTTTAAAAAAAGTTTTGAATCACTCATACCTACCAATTTTACTTTTCTACTTTTTCTTTCCTATGTACAATAGAACAGATATCATCTTTATACACAAAATATTCAAAGTTTAGTATCAAATTTCCATGAAATTATAATAGGAGATGGGCGGTTTACTTTGGAAGTAACAGTTAAAGACAAGAAAAATAGGTACATAAAAGGAAGTGCACATGGAAAGAATACAAGAATACAGTTGAAGGATATAGAGGTTTTAAAATAGTATATCCTGATCTCTATCCTATTTGTTTGGTTTTTATTAGTCTTACAGGATTCAACTATTGTGTCTTAGATGTCTTTGTATGTTTTTTAAAGGCTGAAGCGACATAGTCTTTTTGCAAATTGAGGTTTTTCTATTTATACTTTAATTAGAACAATTAACTGCTGAATAAGTATGTATTCAGCAGAAATGTTAGCGAATTTGTTGGAATATAGATATATTTTAAACATCTAATCTTATACTTTAAAACTGAAATATAACTGGGAAGTTTTCACATATTAACTAAGTCATTTTCACTTATTAATCCTCACAACCATATTATGCAGTAGTCACTGGTGTCTGTGTGTTCATAATAACCAGTATTATGAAGTAGACATTAGTATTTCTTTCTTACTTTCGCATAAGGAAATCAAGGAACAGAGGCATTCTAAAACTTACCCAGGGTGACACAGCTGGGATTTATTACAGGCCAACTGGCCTCTGATCTCATTCCCTCAGCTAATGTGCACACTGCCTCTTACCAGATTTTTCTTTTCAGTGAAAGTTAGACATGACAAGAAATGTACAGCTCTGTGACAAGCTATTAGTTCTTTAAATTAGTGTATATTTAATTTACAAACCAAATAATAATTTCTGATTTTTTTCTCTAAAAATGTGTTGACAGTGTCAAAAATATTTCTTTAGATTTAATATAAAAACACGTAAACTGTTGTCGACAACAAAGAAAATATTGTATAATATTCTTGTGTAATAGTTTAATAAGATCATCTATGTTAATAAAAATTTCTTTGCTTTACTGGTAAGAAAAATTTCTTATAAATTAAAGAATTTGT